TTGGTAAAATAAATCCGCTTGGCATCTTTCTTGGCCTTAAGACAACAATTCTGATGGCTAAAGATCCAAACGGCAAAAAAAAAAAAAAAAAGAGGAAATGATTAGCTATAAAACACCAATGGGATAACCTCTGTGACAAATTCATCAGGGTTTCCATGATTGCTTTTTGCTGTGTTGTCATTTTTTTTTATCTGACTCTGTTGCAAAAGGAAATTTGCTGTGAATCCCTCTTAGTCAGAATCTAGTGCAGGAATGGATGGCTTAACCACTAAAAGCTACTACATAAAGCCATAGTTAGTGGATGTGAATGCATTACATGGCCACTGCAGAAAAACCCTGTACACGTACCAAATATGGGCTTTGATTTCATGGAAATTTTAAGCACCGCGTCTTCTGATGGTGCTAAAGTGGGAGTGAGAGTCCATCCTCCTGCACTGCTCTTTGTAGAACAGGACATAAAAAAGAGTTCTTCAGTGAGTGGGTTTATGCATTTATTTCTTTTTTTCATCTTTCATTCAATAATTTGCGCTAAGTGTGATTACATAAAACCATTATGCTAAGGCAAAATACAAAAAGGGAACGGCTAAATTAAAGACAGTTCTGAAAAAGCCCTCAAAGTTGTATCAGCATTATTGTTTTTTTCTTTACATCCTTTATGCAACGCCTCAATGCTTCAGTGTGCAGACTGTATCTCTAAGGGCTGCTAGAGGTCCATTCTGTTATTAACAATGAACTAGCTGAGTAAACTAATAACTAACGTCCTCAATCCAGACTTTACGGTTGGCCTCATACCAGCTAATCCTTTAATTGGTGCGGCGGGCTGCCGGAGGTGCTTTCGTCTTGAGTGAAAAGTCCACTGCAGTAAAACAGACTGGAAAAACCTCCAACCTTGCCACTTATTTATTCAGGTTATGACTCGCAAAAATTGTCAGGAAGGGTAAGACATTTGAGATCATTTTTGCACAGCTTCAGCACTGATACTTCGCTATAGATATATCTGCTTCCTTTTGAATTCTCAGTATGAGACAGACTCAGCCTGTTTTATCACTGCGGGGCCACGTGATTGTGGGATTAGGCCCAAAATTTCTCCATCAGTTGCCGCAGTGTGAATCTGCCTTTAGGCGGTATTTTTAATAATTTAGAGAGCAGTGAGAGTGATAATGTGATACCACGAGCCAGCCCCTTATTTCAATGACACCACTCTTGTGTGCATTTTAATGCACACAAAAAATAAATAAATGCGATGAGTCAAACATGAATGCATACCTTGGGGACAATCTTTCAAAAGTCCTTCTGACATTTACAACTGAAACGTTTGTCAGGCTCTGAATGATCAGCAGAGAAATTGATCATGTGGAGGTGTGATGAGAGCCGGGTATCACGAGATGCAGTGTGTTTGTGCGTGTGCGTGTTAAAGGTGTACAAACATTATTTCAGTGCCAGCTCGAGTCTGTCTCCTTTCACTTTCTTTCCTCTTTCTCTCTCCATGCCTCTGCCGCGCCTCATAATAGACTTCCACCATCCTCGGTTGTGGGCAGATAGGAATAAATCTGTGGCTTGATTTGGTAATAGATGGAGGCTGAGATTGCCATAACGGGTGGCTTAGATGAGATTCAGTCAGGTACAAATATGATCAAGGAGTAAAAAATATATATATGTTGGCTGGGTGTTAGATGTTGGGTGGTGATGATATTGTTGTTGGAGTTGACTCAGCTATATAATTTGGCCTTAAACTGAACTATCAACAGCCATGAAAGTTTACACAGA